TATATAATGTTGTACTTTAATTTTTTGCTCTATTGACAATATCTCAGACAGACACAATAAATATTTAAACCCCTATCAGTTGGGTTTTTGCTTACATTCAATTTTCAAGAAGATACAACTGTTTTACGCTGTCTCTCGCATGTCACAAAATAACTCAATGAAGAAATAGATCAATGTAAAATAAACAACATTGAACAATATTAGTTTTACAAAATACAATTCTCCATGAGACCTAATAAGTTCTCATTTTAACCGTTTTCTAGTAATAAGCACAGTAAATTTGATGCACGCGTCAATAAAATGTTTTTAAAAAAACACAACAACAAAACAACATGTCAGCACATTTCTTTTCAGTAGTTCAGTAAATTTTTCCAGGTTCACTATTTTTTTTTTTATTTTGAAAATCGGTTAGGAAATCAAAAGCCGATAGACAGCTTGAATCAGCGAAACGCGGGGGAGGGGATTAAAGCGCGGTGGTCGTCGCGCAGCGCGTGTTCGAATTTCATGTAAATAAACAATGTATTTGAAACGCGTTGTATACGTCGCTATGAGTCCCATATCGAACAGGACGCGGCGCGACGACTGTCGCTCTTTAAGTGTCAACGCATCAGTGTCAGCGTTTTTTGTGGTGTCTACCATTCATCAATTTGTCGAAATTTCAAGATATCATAAATGAAATAATGTCTCTGTCAAAATTACAGGTTGTTAAGACGTTATCACACGATAATGATGTGAACTCCTATTCGCAAGTAGATTCATTTCAAGAAAGCCCCCGAATTTATCAAATGTAGTATGATTCTGATGGTGATGATTTATAACAAGAATAATGAACCCCGCAACGTTATATTGAAACGGACTCTTCTACTCGCTCTACATGGCACTGTGGGGGTTATTATTATTTAATGCTACACGGCTCGGGCGGGGACGCTCGATCAAATAATTGGCTCAACTGCGTCTGGTCCATTATTGCGTCCTTCCCCGTCCTTGTCACGTGATTTAAACAATAATGAATCTCCTATCCCGCTGTGGGCTGTTTATTATTGTATAACAGTCATTACCGTCTGAATTAACTAATATTTAAATTGGAAGTCTTTTTTGTTGAAGATAATTTTCTTGCAAATGAGATTTTACGCTGTCGTGCGATAATCTAAAGCTATGACGTCATAACAAAACACTAATTCTGATAGTGCTGATTTATAACACTCAGAATTGGACAGCACGCTGCGCTTAATTCCCTAACTGCACCGATCGACTCGGACGTTTCAAAGTCACGCAACTTGGAACTTTTTTTTCTGAAGTTATTGCGGCAGTATAGCTGCAATAGTTTCAAATGTTATTATGAACATAAAACACATTGCCGTATTTGTTTGTTACGGGGTATTCCGATAGCACCCGGATTTCTGTCCTAACATCATCTAAGTTTATTCGGTCATGGACGTTTAATTCGTTTAGTCGCATAAACAAAAATGTTCACATCATGATCTTACCCAACTTGGAATACCAATTTTCACTTTTTACTACCTTATACTAAAATATATTTGGATAATTAAAGTTCTATCAAATTCCACTTATGGTCCGGTTAGACTTTACGACAGGACTTGAAAAAGTTATTTTTGCTTGACATGTTGCTTTCAATTGCGTTTCAATGGCTGTCACATTTGTATTCTGAGTCTTGCCGATACATTTTGGTTCAAATTCACATAGATATTGAGGAGAAAACTCAAATTTTCAACTAAAGCTAATTTGCATAACAATGTTTTTGCCCTTGGTCGCCATATTGGACATGGCATACTTCGATTTTGAAAAATATCTGGAAGATGTTAAAAACCCATCGCACAGATCTGCTCTAACTAAGCTAAGGATCAGTGCACACACATTGCAGATTGAGGCAGGAAGATACATCAACCAAACAGTAGAAGAGAGAAAATGCCACTACTGTCAGGAAAAACAAATAGAAGATGAAAGCCATTTTCTATTAAAATGTTCTCCCTATGCTGATTTAAGAAACAAGTTCCTCCATACCACAAAGGTCATTACAACAATTGACAAATCTGATATTGAAAACACTGTAGACATTCTAAAAACAAAGGAAAAACAATCACTAATTCATTTGGCAAAATATATCTTTGAGTGCTTCAATTTAAGAAATGACACTCATAAACAAAAAATACCAGCTGCTTTATAATTAATATAACTTATTAAGATACCTTTTCTGTTTTGTTTTTTTTCTAACCATTCCTTGTTCTCCGTTTTTATTTGATTTTATTATGTTTTCACTATGTCTTCATTTGTATTTTTCGTCTTGCCATTCTGTATGTATTTGAAACTTTATTGTATTTTAAAAATCCAGATCCTGAACAGGATATGATTTCAATAAAGGCATTACTTACTTACTTACTTACAATTAGTTAATTAAGTATATGACCTTGGTAGTACTTATTAAGCTTAAGTGTACACATTCAAAGTCATTATATGCAATGATAGGAAGTTTTAATTGATACCATCTGTTTTAATTGAGCAAGTGCTCAGATGCTAGGCAGATTCCAGTGAACCATGGATGTACTAAGAACTCAGAACTCTGTGCGAATCCCCCTTGATTCTGGCTGCTGGCCATTTTCGTTCATGAAATCGTCGGATATCATCAGAAAACGCGGGATTTGTGCAGTTTTAAATAAAACCAAGTTAGCGATTATGAACAATGGTTATTAACGTAACACCTGATCCCCTCTAAAAAAATTGTTTCGCATTTTAAGGTAAGAAATCGACATTTGAAACCGACAATATTGATTAATTTTCAGCTCCCCAAGTGACTGTGTAGCTTTCACCGGAAATCACATAGACATCGCTCCGAACTTGAAAATTAACATCGAAATTGTATCGCGGATATATTCATGTTTGTGTACGACATGAATATAAAGCACCACAGGCATCAAGATTGTCGAAAAGAGTGATTTTGCGGAGCACCCCGAAGCGATGTTTCACGCTTGAGTGCATTTGCATACTGAAACTGGCGGCCATCTTTCCTTGTATATATCCGGTTTAAATCAGTAGAAACAATCAGTAAAACAAATACGTATACATTTTAGAGACTGTTGATAAACATTGCCATAGCGACATTGTCCGTGCATAAGCATTTAAACGATGAGGCATACCTCTTTGGGCTAAATCTACTTGCCATCAGCGTGCAAACAAATGTCTTATTTGACTTTATGTACTGGTTACGGAAGTTGCAACATATGGCTAAATTAATTAAATCGTGCTGATGGATTTCGACCAAGGTACATCACGCGACTTGACGCGAACCAGCCGTGTTTCGATTTCGGCCCCATGTGACGTGTAAAAAGAAAAATATTTACACGAAAATATATATATTGCACGGTGTGTGTGTGTTTATATTATTATTTACCCTTTTTTTATTTAATTTTTACTATAATTTTATCCATTTGTAGTTATTGTTTTCTTTGTGTTCATCTTATCATGTATTATTTTCATTATCACTTTTATAATCAATAAAGTCATGATTTATTTTAATATTCGAACGCACGACTTTGTGTAAAATTTCCTCATTTTAATAACATGGGGAGAAACAACAACGTCGCAAAAGATTCCATGAGGTAGGTTGTGAATAAACCACTTTTAAAAAAAAAAATATTTTGATTTACTCGTACCTGCAATAAAATAAAAATAATATTCAATATTAGTATATACTAGTATGCAAATATGTACAAATATTTAAATAGATTTGCATAAAATATCACGTGACACTTATTTGCGCACATATGTCGAACACCGCAGACCCGACCTAAACAGTTCTTCGTCAGTTACTTCTCGCTTGGCAATCATAGCACGATGTCGTCCACAACATTTTCTGTGGTGTGTTTCATCTCTATGTCGGTGTTTTATGCGTGCGTGGTTCAGGCTGGGAAGCGGCAAATACTTGACATGAGTTACGAAATAAGCGAGGACACGCCACAGTTTCCCGGTGACCCACCATTCGAGTTCACCATACTATATAGAGAGTACATATTCCCTGACACCTATTTGGAACTTAACAAGTTTTGCGCTGTTGACCATATTGGAACCCACATGGACGCCCCGTCGCATTTTTTCGAGGTGAGTGTATTTTGAATTCGCGCTAGCTGACTGATTGTGCTGCCAAAATGATGAGCTCGAAAATGTATATACCATCAACGCGTATGTTTTGTCCTGTATCTTTCTCTTTCCGTAATATTACTTGAAAGCTCTTGCACGTAGCTAACTAATTGAAAAGAACGAAAAATGCAGATAATCGCTTCATGAATTCACACAATTTTTCCCCTCGACCTACAACGTCTGAATGTAACAGGCAGTCTATATATTGCCGTTGCACATATATGTCGCGCGAGGACGCATGGCCTGCCAATTAAATTTCTAAAAACAAGGTATATTGTCAATCGGATTACTGGTACAAAGAATTACTACCTGCTTAATGTATGCCTTCAGTTTTTTTAAAATTTGCTATAATATCAATATAGCATTCCTGCTTCCACGAATGAACTTTTTTCCCGCCAACAATGCTGTTTTGAGTATTGCGCTATAACTGGGACAACGTGTGGTAATAGTAATACAGCAGATATCCCTTTGCGCACTGTTATTTCCGTACCGCTGCTGTTACGACGCAGTTGTTGTAGCGACATAGTAGTGACGGTTATGAATCAGTTCTGCTAGTTTTCGTGTGAGTTTTCATCAAGATCTTTATGTTACCGAGTAACATGATATACTAGTATGTCCTTTGCAGAATCAGGACTTCTGAGGCTTAATTAAACAATAATAATTAGTTTAATCCCGCCACATTTGAAAGATCAACACCTAAATCACAAGCTCCACTGGTTATACGCTTACAAACAAATAAATAGACATTTAAGATCAATTATTTATTTGAAATGACGTTCTGGCTTACGCTATAAAAAAATATAGCAGACGTCGGTAATATCGTAAAATATTAAGTTTGTGGTGTTGTGTTTTTTCTCTGTGCGAGTACCAGTGGGTCTCTTAGTATTATCTGGATGTCGCTTTACTCATTGCTGTTACTGTTGTCATGGGGATAGTTGTATTTATATATGGGGTATGCGAGGCAAAGGTGACTTTTGTTAAAAAAATCATGGTCCGGTACAATATTCACTTCCAGAAAATGACAAAAATAGACTATTGAAAATTCCGATTTTGCAACAATCCATAACCCTCTTGGTTGCCTCGCATACCCGTTGGTAATTTTCTTCTAGTGTTGCCACCCCCGCCCCTCATTGAACTACATAGGCTGGGTACTGTTGCTACGGATGTTATTACAGCGCATTCGCTGCACACACAACTGTGTATTTATAAATGACAAGATATATATAACACGCCCCCTCCCGATCACGAGATTTGCACTGTTAAATGCATCAGTATAATGATCCACACGCGTCGGAAATGTGCGCAAACAGTCTGTTCTTATCAGTTGCTGGTATCAGCAACAGATTAAGAACGTTTTTTCGAGTATGAAAAAAAAGACAACCTAAAATGGCTTTAAAAATGAAATATACACATGTCTAGTTACATCACGGTTATAAATTGCACCAGTGATGGCGCATGCAAAAGATACAAGTTTTTTGTGTATTTTTGCGACCATTCTACTATTTGTCATACAGTTTTGGCTTCTTTTTTTCATTGCCTTTCTCTCAATTTCTGCATTTGTCTATCTTCGAAAAATCGATAAGATTTGAAGGCGGGGATGTGTAAGGCCAAACAAAAATTGTTTTGTTGCCCTCAGCGACCGACCGAAAATATGAAATACCGGGTCGTTTTTTTTTGTTTTTTTTTTAATAGGCCCAAATATTAAAAACTCACCATTTTAAGCAGTAAAAAATTGTTTCCTTTAAAAAATAACGATCCCGGACCGTTGTTTGATCCCCAGGGTCCCGGGGGTATAAGTGGTTGATCTGTATTCCTCTGAAGTAAAAAATCCGACCGAACGAACCAATTTTTCAATTTTCCGACTTGAGGGCAACATAAGTTGTTGTTTTTTTGGCCTAATCGTTTGATAATTCGCTATGTGTGAACAATATCCCCGGAGCGGAGCTACGTTACAGGAACGCGGAACGCCGAGCGAAGAGCCGGTGAAAATTCGAGAAAACAACAGGAACTCAACTTTGAAGTAATCCTGAACAATCAAATTTATATGCGTTACACACGCAGGAGTAATCTTGTTACACTGTTCATGGAGAGTCTCAGCAACCATCCCAAAGTACCGTTTTCTGGGAGTTTTCGGCCTTTGTTTTCACCGTGATGGTTTCCATGCGGTGAAAATGCCCGGATGTCCGCCCCGAGAAATATTCTGTTGTATATCTCAGCAAGGTGTATTGATGTGATAATGGATAAATCTCTTTGGGGGGAGTCAATATGTCTGTGTCATTATTATCATTCTCATACTCATACTGTCACAGGGAGGTGAGCGTATACAGGATATATCTTTGGATCGATTAATCGGTAAAGCCGTCAAGATCGATATAAAGGCTAAAGCAGACGCAGACAGTGATGCCGAATTGACAGTGGCTGATCTACAGGCCTGGGAGAACGACAACGGCCGTATCCGTAAAGATAGCATCGTGATAGTGTACACCGGATGGGGAAGTCGATATCCAGATCGGGTAAGCAAGCTTTTATTGATCAAAGAATTATTGGTCAACATTAAGGGGTGCAGAGAAATAATGAATACTGTTTAGCGTACTTTCGTTGTTTGTATGAGGTATTCAGAACTGGCTTGTCTATGTTCGTAATTACTGTAATTACTATCGAATTAACTCTTGTGACGTGCTTTGTTATGCATACGGATACCTTGCAAGCTTTCGTATATGATTTTGGGATTCCATAGTTATTATATGATTTCATATTTATAATTGTGGGATTTCATAGTTGTGATCGTGTGATTCCATAGATGGCCTTTAATTAATATTACCTTATATGATGTTATCATGTGCGGCGTACTATGTGTCATTCGTCGATTTGATAAATTTTCCGTTTATGTTAATTTATATTGCGCCATGACGTGTTTTATACGTATAGACACTTTCAACTTAAATATAAGATGTTATATTTAAATAATTTTATTGGACATACTAGTATATCATATTAATGTTAAAAATAATCTTGAACATTTACGAGTTATATACATTGCCTGGTTTGACTAATAGTCTATTTAAATTCTTTGTGTAAACACTTTTTCCACAAAATTCTGAAATCTGTGTCTGTTTCACTTAGAAGATGCATTTTTTTTTATAAATACAATATCAGTCTATATGATATTTGTAAATACATTATGTGATATGATAGACCATTTTCCGTTCACTGCGAGATCCCCCGTTATGTGTGGAATTGAACATAAAAACAAGACAAGCAAAGGTCATAGCATCGTAGTGATGTCAAAACGTCTCGTGGAATTCGAAAGAAGGCAAAGTGCATTTGGGGTATTTCCAACCTTAATAATATGCTATAAGCAATACGCGAGATCTCGTACTGAAAGGAAAATCACTTATTAACTTGTCGGTGTACTGGGGATATGAATGTCTTCTGATTAGTTTTCTCACAACACTTGATTTGTTTAGTTAAAGTTAACCATGCAAGAATGGAGTCGTAAAGATTGGAGTCAAATAAATGCACTTGAGTGAAAAACAGAAAATGACAGATTTGTATGTTCTAGCCTCAATCATAGACCCTCTTTTAGAGGGTCTATGCCTCAATACAGTAGTTTATTTAACATAATAATCAAGTGGATATAACCCAAGGTGAACGAATGAATGAATGAATGAATGAATGAATGAATGGTCACGTCAAATGGGTCACGGCGCGACATGTTGTAAAGGTGCATTGCCGACCCACGATAATATAAATATATAATAGTAATACTATCTTATTTTCCAGTTGTCATACTATGGTACCCTGGCCATGGATGGCACCGGTTTACATTATCCAGGAATTCACCCAGATGCCGCACAGTTTTTAGTTGATAGAAAGGTAATGTTTATATTGCCAAACCTCTCGGAACGGAATACACCCCGAGGGAGTAAAAATGGTTTGCCGTTTAGAAAATGCTTACCCAATGTTCGGTTTGGGAAAGTGTTCAGCTTTAATGGTGTTCAGTGTGGACATATTTTCAGTTTACACAGTGTTAGGTGTAGATAGGTTTTCTGTCTTCGTGGTGTTTGATTCATTGTATCCTCTGGCGAAGAGCCGGTGAAAATTAGAGAAAATAACAGAAACTCAACTTTGAAGTTCTCCTGAACAATCAATTTATATCTTGTAACAGTGTTCAGGGGAGCCTCAACAACCATCCGAAAGTACCGTTTTCTGGGAGTTTTGGCCTTTTGTTTTCACCGTGATGGTTGCCATGCGGTGCCCGAATGTCCGCCCCCGAGAATACCATACCATAATACTGCCACATGCAATTAACGTAAAATTACTCACATTTTGTTCCAGGTGACCTCAGTTGGTATCGACACGCCCTCTGTAGACCACGGTCCTTCTCATTCCTACGCTACGCATAAGATATTCACATCCAGTGGAGTTATTGGTAAGTTATTGAGTCAGAGAGTGGTCGTCGCGCTGCGCATGTGCCACATTTGTGTTGATAAACATTGATTTTCCCACAATCCAATGTGCTCTTCTAATGGAAATCACAAGTCATGAGGTTTGACCTGGGCGCGACTTACACTAATTACCGCCGGTGACTCTTTCGATACCTTCCAATCACCTGAAACGTCTCAGTTCGTACTCGTTGGTCTGCTCAACAGTTAAAGTCGCCATCTTTGTTTATATGAGACCCATATATCTTGCGCATGCGTGACGCGACGACTACCTCCCTTTAAACATTGTACTCTATCTCTGAGTCTTGTGTGACTCAGACAGTTTTGTTTTGTTATTGTTTTATTATTGTCTCTATAATCTTGACATGTACGTGTAGTTTAACAACAAGACATTTATTTTTCCTACAGGGCTTGAAAACGTCGCTAATGTCGATCAGTTGCCGTCGGAAGGAGCCACTATCTACGCCATTCCGTTGAAGATCAAAGATGGCAGTGGTTCGCCGTCTCGAATATTTGCCATTTGGTGGCCTGGCAATACATCTAGTGGTGGAAACTCTGAGTGTTAGGTTCTTGGGTTCAAAATCAGGTCGAATATGAAATATTTAAAAAATTATGAAATATATAAATGTTTCTTCTCGTCATCAACCCAGATTATTATATGTAGATTATTAAGTTATATAAAGTTATTTACTGGTTGTAATGTTAATCAATAAATACTCATTTAATGTAATATACACATTTGTACATTTTTCGTCTAACTTTCAATAGTATTTTTAAGGGGTTCGTGGAAATGTCCATAATTCCCTGAGCAAATATTACCATGAAAAATACACGATCGTTTTCTCTTATATCTTTTCTTTACGTAAACATATATTACCATGCCTAATAATGGACGGGGAGAGTCATAGTTACTATTAAAGGGCGGTAGTCGTCGCCGGCGCCACACATGCGCGAGATATATGGGTCTCTTATAAACAAAGATGGCTACTTTGACTGTTGCGCAGATCAACGAGTACAAACTGAGATGTTATCGAGCTTTAATTTGGTAATGTTTTAGGTGATTGGAAGATATCAAAGGAGTCACCGGCGGTAACCAGTGTAAGTCGCGCCCAGGTCAAACCTCATACTTGTGATTACCATTAGAAGAGCGCATTGGATTGTGGGAAAATCAATGTTTATCAACACAAATGTCACATATGCGCAGCGCGACGACCGCCGCCATTTAAACTACTACTACTCGTTTTTTCCCTCTGGCTACCTTAAAGCGCGGCAGTCGTCGCGAAAGTTTTGAGCCAAACATTACTGGTGCATTATGTATCCAATTCAGATTTTACACCGATGTGGGAGAGTAAGTTAGGGATATACGGATGGAACACTTGATTATAACGAATTGATGGACTTTGTCAAATCAAAAGTGCCGTCCTTGAGCGAATCACTTTTTCAACTGCGGCAGTTTCAAAATGGCGACCGTTATTATGTCGACTAAAATGAGCGGGAGTTGACATTTTTCGACAAAATTAAGCAACACCCAACTTGCGATTTTTGAGATTACTGAAAATAATTAAAATATAAATATAAAACATAAAGAATGGTTGTTATAAACGCACGCTAGATAATACTTACATGCCGTCAACCCCTATGAAATAGTCGGTAAATAGTAATCCCAAACCACGCGCCCGTCAATCAAGTGGCGCCGACAAGTCTAGATTAGGCAAAGAACAAAGTGTTTTGCAAAGTTGCAAGTCATTTTGCCAACTGACCGTCCGAATAATAGAACGGATGTAAAACAGTACTTCATGGATAGCTGCTGTATTTGTCGATGAAGACAGTGGAGTTTCTATACCTACTAGCCTCTCTTTCAGTTCTTCTGAAACAGGAAGTGTTTGAGGGCGCTCGACTTATGAAAGGGGCCTATTAGACGGCCTATTATATATACTAGTACACATACGGGTAACGTGATAAATTCATGGATTGATATGATTAATAGTAAGAACAAGTCGTATAAAACACTTAGATACCCTTCCCCCACCCCACCCCACCCAAAACAGGGCAAAATTCGAAGGTCATTGTCCCTCTGCCTGTCATTTGGAAATGGAGTTAAGCTCGAACATAGACCACTTTCCCGGAAGTAGCAAAACTGGGGTGCAAAAATACTCCTGCCTTGTCATGGCGGAAAATACAACCATGTCAGTTTATTGATAGTCGATAGAAAAGAATTTTATTTTTGTTACGTCGATTGGTACACCCAGGAGCACAATATCACGCGTGCAAGTTTACGTTACACCCCAATTTCGCATGCGAAAAGGCGGTTCTTCGACTTCCGGGAAAGTCGTCTATAGATACAAGACCCATCTTAACAGCCACAATACTTTTCAGATACACCCAAACTGTAGCATTTTGTATTGGAATATTGATCAGAACTATGAATGAAGGTACTATTTACTTTATAGTATGTGTTTTGAATTTCGCCGGAAACGAGTTAACTATACAATACCCACGATGCTTTGCTTCGTTTCACATTTTGCCATTTTCTATACTATGAGCACTGAGTATTAGCTAACGGTGTATCACCACAACTTCATGTGTTCAACACAGTTTTGGTTGACCCCGTGAATTAAGTCGCATTGGCTTAGTATATAAGCTAAAATATGCATCCGATCACCGTCCACCGGTGTTGAGGGACGGTGATCCGATTTACCGATTATCTCACACGGCATTACAAGTGAATATTATTGGTCGGATTATCGCGAAATGCTGATAAATATCTAGTTGTTTGGTGAAAATGCATGAAATAAACAAGTCAATAAACATACACGCCGTGATCAGACTACAAACGCGCCCGGCCTACGAGTTTACTTAAACACCACTCTCATACAGACTGGTTAATTGCTCCCGAGCCTGCTAGGCGTCCAACTTGGGAGTTCGTTTGCACGTTACGAATTTGGTTCACATAATATATATATGCATCCATGCCAGACATGGGTAAAGGTGTTACCTCTTACTGATTAATGCAATAGACACATACTTTTGCATCGGAATGCTCACTAAATACAACCGACAAAGCCTGGACCGCTAAGCTGTGCTATTATATTTATATTAATAAACCATTAAATTAAATCACTAAAGTGTGAAAAAAACAATTAGTATACAATCAGTGCGACATGTGTCGCTTTCCACGTAAAACAATTAATATAAAAACATGGTAATACCATGGAGACAAAATGAAATGGATAAAATGATTTGTGCGAGAAATCGTAGATCGGGATTTGGACGACTTTATTAAAAATTGAGATGGTGTAATAATAGAACGTTCGGTGGGAAATTGTGTACTTAATAACGACCCGTTCAACCCCGACTTTTCGTCTTTGTTGCGGCTTTTTTGTTGCTTCGCTGTGAATCTGATGGAAGTTTATATCACGTTTCAATGACGTAATTGTTATGAAAAATTTGAGTTTTCGTTTACTTATTTGTTTGCTGTGAATATGTATGAAGTGGTAATGACGTAATGCACCTATCAGTGTTTTCCCACAAGAGGGGCGGGTGGGGTGTGCGGACTGTATATGGGAGTTCGTCATTATTTTTTTTCTTGGCATATCAAATTTTCTATGACATGTCAATAACACAAAGATGAAGCATAATTTTGTTCGTATATGGTGGGCATGTAAACACTCCCCCAATACGGTACTCAGTTTTGTAGTCAATGTCTCCTATTGCCCGGCACCCTCTTCTCATGAGGAATGCATTGATAGATGTAACATGATTAGTATAATTGGCGTTCATCCTCCACCTCTTCACCATCGTGATCTATTATTTAGTTCGATGATTCATCTGGCCTTCACGCGATACCTCGTTATTCATGCAAATATTACGGCTGTCTTACATACCATATGACCAGTGAAATGTGCCCAGTCTGTTACATACAGACAAAGGGAAATTAGTAACAGTTTCTGAACAAACATAGAACTCTTCGCCTCTCGTGCTGAACGGACGTAAAAGATATGAAGCGTTGCCCGGGGCTTAGAGCGCCACCACGTGTCATTATCAAACCATTGATAGTGTCCTGCTTTAGTTATAGATAACAAGCGACTGTTAACTGATAGTAAATAATTCAGAAAGTCGCACTATATATATGTGACAGACTGTCCTATTATGAACAATACATAGACATTACTATTTCGATATTATTGAGTTCATATTGGGCAGCGCCCTCTCGAGTTTATTATAGTTATTGTATGCACTTTCGTTGTTGTTATTGGTACTTCTTCAGCCATGTTAGTAGTAAACCAGTAACGGTCTTGTTTATGCATATTTATTGTGTATATTTATTGCCCCCATCGCTTGTCACAACTTATTTATATTCCATATTTCCAGAACACGAATTATTTCATCAACAAGGTGTGATCACAAAAACTATAACAATATCAATAAACCCAAGTCGCTAACGGCCGCCGATATCCCAAGAGATCGAGATCTCACGAGATTCGTTGTGCCCCCTCATAATACTATTCGTCCATGGTATTTGGAAGAGTTGGCGAGAAAATTGGAGAAATTGGAATGGAATTTAAGGAGATAATTTAAGGAGATGTCCCGCCTTTACAGGCGCTCTGCTGTGGGCAATATAATCAAGTACTTTGTAAGACGTTTGCAACTGATTCTTTCAGCCAATCACATTTGTCCTGATCGACCTGGTTGACCCACAGCTTTATAATTGAAGTTTATTCTGCTGCTAGATTGTATATGTTTCTGGTCTTGAACACGCACTCTGATAACGTTAATGTTTAAACCGCGACGGTCGTCGCGCAGCGCGTGTTCGAATTTCATGTAAATAAACAATGTATTTTACACGCGTTGTATACGTCGCTATGAGTCCCATATCGAACAGAACGCGGCACGACGACTGCCGCCCTTTAACCATTTTCTCGTTGCATTTTCACCTTGTTTCCCTCCGACGAAAATATCATTATAGAACCATCCAACAAAAGCTGGTACGAATAAAGTTCTAGAAATCTTTATTACTTTATGAGAATGTCTGATAAACACGGGGTGAGTAAAGTTTGGTTACATGGCGAAATCAGGCAAAATAAAAATACAAGTAACCTGTAGAATGCTGTGTGGGTAATATTATTATATTGATTTTTGTTGCATTTGCAGCAAATAGTTACCAAACAATGAGAAATCTATAGGATTGAATTTTCCTCTCGGCTGGCTTCACATGCATAGTTCAAGCCTGCCTAACCGGTGCTTATACAAGGATTTAATTACAGCACCTAGACGGTCTGTGGTTACAGCTTCATGTTCAGAGTAATCGCAAAATTGATATTACAATAACAAATCATGAAAGACTGGCAGCCCCATGCAATTAACAGCAAGTGAAATTCCTGGGTTTGAAACATGTATTTTGAAGTCACTGATGTAGGCAATGAATAATAACTTCAAGTTGGCATAAA